AACTGGGTAATGGGATCTCATATACATTACTGGAGGATGCCCACCTATGTCTCTAAAGTCAAGATGCTCCTTCTTAATGAGCAAGCATAGATGTTTCAGGTGTTTCCTGCCTAGAATGAAGGATGCACAGTAGCCTTTCTGCATGCTAGGAACCAAGCCCTCTGCTGGGGGCCTAGGGGCTGAGGGAAAGAAATCATACCTTTGTTTCAGGAGCTCTTCAGTGTGACAGGGACATGGGCCCTACCCTAGAGGAACCCTTAAGCAAATAAGCAAACAAGAAGTCTCCTCTGACATTTAGCATGCTATGGGTCATTCTGGGCAAAGTCAAAGGTGAAAGGGAAAAGCAAGGTGGCAGAGCAGAGAGGGAGCAAGATAGTTTTCAGGCAGGTGGACCTTGGAATGGCCTGTGATAGTCAAGAGTAGGAGGAAGAGTAGTTCAGGAACTGACTGTCCTTGGATGTGTTCATCAGGTACAGCATAGTCCCGAGAGATAAGGGTGCTAGAGGGGAGATGGGAAGGGAAGAAAGTCTCATGAATACTGGGACTGGAAATGCTGTAGTATCTAGGTAGGACAGGAACAAGATGAAATTGATGACACTAATAATTCCATGGTGCAGGAAGGAGAAGGAATCAAGGAGAGAGAGACCAGAATCAAGGAAGTCACAAGAAGGGCTATCATGGGCAACCAAGCTGATAGGATAAACAAGCTGATCAGAGGACAAAAGGCAAGGAGGGTATGTAAGCCAACCTGGGCAGGAAGAGGGACAGACTAAATGAGGAGACCAAAAGACAGACAGGCAAGCCAGTATTATAACTCAGTTGGTAGAGTGCTTGCCTAGCAAGGATGAAGCCCTGGGTTCCATCCTCAGCACCAGGCATGGAGGGAACTGTGGTGGTACAGACTACAATCTCAGTGCTTGAAGGTATAGACAGGATGATCAGAAGTTCAAGATCATCCTTGAATACATAGTAAGCTTCAGGTGCGCCTGGGCTACAGAAGAATCTATCATCAAAAAACGGGGGAAGGGGCATGGAGCTAAGGAGATGGCTTAGTCTGTAAAGTGTTTACCATGCAAGTATAAGGACCTGAGTTTGAATCCCAAACACCCACATAAAAAGCTAGGCACAGTGGACTCGCCTATAATCCCATTACTGGAGAGGAAGACAGGAAGATCCCTGGGGCTTGCTGGCCCATCAGTCTCACCAGATTTTCAAGCTCTGGGTCCGTGAGGGTCCCTCTCTGAAAATATATGATAGAGATTAAAGAAGATACCCAATGTCAACCTCTGTCCTCTACACTGATATGCACATATATGCACACACATGAACACATATGCACACATATACCATGAGAAGGAAGACAGGATCATGTGGGGGAGTAGAATAGATGAAAAAAGATAGACACATCCTAGACATAGGGGCAGAGAGAAATTGATGCCTTTGGCTGAAAAGCAGAGGTTGCTAATAATGAGAGAGATTATCTGGAGAAATGCTCAACGGGTCACACTTATTGAATCTGAATTGAAGACAGGACATCTGCTTGGCACAAACTCATGGGAAGAGGGGACTGTGGTGTGAAGGCCCTGCTTCTAGTAACAGCCAGCCTGTCGGCATGCAACAGGAACCTCATAACTTCTTGATAATTCTGCCTCCCCAGACCTAGGACAAAGTCTCAGAAGGAGACTGGCACCAGGCCCAGGAGATGACAGAGTGGAGAACGAATCAGAGAGCCTAGAGAACCCTAACAGCCAACTGTACCTTTTACATGCTAACCACCTCCTAAGTCCTTTGCAAATATTGACTCTTTTAATCCTCACAACTATTATTAGCCCTGGTAAAAGGATGAGGAAAGCTATTTGACTACTAACTGGTAAAACCAGGGTTTAAGCTCAGGAACGGGGACTCCAAGGCTGTGCTTTTGACCACTCTGTCTCTCCGAGTTGAAAGGAGGGAGGCCCGGGGCAGCAACATAAAGTCACCCCACCATCCATGAGAAGCTATTGGACAGCTGTCATGTAACCCCTACTCCTCAGAGCTTCACAGCTCCTTTCAGAAGCCTTAAAGATGGGCTTTTTGTTTGGGGTTATGTTTTTCACCCCCTGAAAGCTGTCTCTCTTTCTTTCCCAGTCATCATGTCAAATGTCTTTCCTTTTATGGGACATCCTTCCTGCTGCAGTCGCCAGCCATTGCCTGGGTTTTCTGCCACTGGAAGAGCTGTAGAAGTACCATGCCCTAGAGCCCCCACTCCCCCAGGCTTCTACAAACCACACAGTTCAGTTCTGACTTCTCCCCCACACCCAGTAGCAACTCCTCCCTTCCCGACCACCCCAAGTCCAGGCTCCAGGCTGGCAGACACCCACAGAAGGGGTGCTCCCACAATCCTTTTCTCTTTGCCCTTTCAAGGTTCTGAAGGAAGGAGAGTGGAAAGGGCCTACCCAGGATGTACTCTCTCTATGAAGAATGGTGACAACATGGACACTAGACTCTGATGAGGGAAAAAAAGCATTTGGCCTCAGCCTGAGGTGATGAGGTGCACGCAAAAAACTCCCCATTCCCTCGCATGGCTACAGCCAACTACCCTTCATTCTGTGCTAAAACACTTGGAGTCCAAAACTCCCTTTCTTGCCAGTCTTTCGGCAGTTTCAACTCAGTGGGGTGCCTCATGCTGTCCCTTCTCTCTGCCCCTCCCAGGGCCTCACTACTGTCCCGAACAACTTGGCCTCGGCCTGGACAGTACACTGACCAGTTAGGCAAGAGAAGAATCTAGGCCGGGCAGGGGAGGGAAAATTGAGGGTTCTTTCTTCTGTCCTAAATAACCTTTGGCAGGAAAACTCAGGGGCTTCATCACTTCGTGTGTCTTTCCCTCCTCCCCAATGCTAGGGGCCTCAACCTGTCTTTCCATCTTGTGTGCAGAAACCCAGCCTTTTGCTAGTAGGCCCAGGAGTCTCCTTAAGGACATGAACCTTGTTGCATGAGTCCTCTCTCCCCTCAAGACCCCTAAACTTCTTATCCCACTAAGCCTAGCAATTTCATCTGTGCCCACCCAGATCCAAGCATCCCAGCCTCCCCAGTCCCTAAGGAGAGACGGAAAGGAAGGCCCCTGGGTCTTCTGCCAGTCATTTCCCTTCTAGCCCAAGCCAACAAAGCTAGAGTGTAAATGAGCTCATGCAGAGGGCAGGTGGGGGCCACAGAGAACTGGGAGGATGCCTGCTTTTCCCCCCACATAAACACATGTCCTCAAAGATACATGAGCACATGTTGAGGAGATGTTTTCCCCCAAGGGTAAAGGACAGCAGTAAGATTCTGCCTTAGGGGTGCACAAGGAATGGGACCATAACCCTACTACCCCCGCCACCCCCCAGTCAGTGGAGTCATTGCCATTTGATATCCGCTGAGACAACTTGGCTGCTCTGGGCTCTGGATGGGGGCTGGGGGGATGGCTCAGAAAACAGCAGCTCCTTTCAGGACCCAGGTTGGCAAGGGCTTTGGGAGGCTGGACTGGCCCAGATCACCCCCCAACTCCCCCTCCTTTCCTCCCTCCCTCGCCACCGCCACCAAAGACTGGTTGAGGGGGGGCGATTGGCACTGCCTGGGCCAAGGCTACTGCCTCCGCAATCCTGCTCTGGACCCTCTCCCTGGCATGATGCCTTCCCTTTCCCTCTTCCCCTTTTCTTCCTTCCTGAAGAACCAGCTATGAGCCAGGACACCTGGTTCCTTCTAGACTTGGTCCCCCATGCCCAGTCTACACCCTGGGGAACAGACAAGCTCTACCCTTTGGCACAGGATGGTGCCCACCATCATTCCAGGAACTTGTTCAAAAATCCTTGGAGATCAGGGAAAGGATTTCGAGATGAAACTCTATTGAGCTCACTAGTGGCTAGTTTCTCAATGCCCACTCTTTGCTTTCCTCAGCACCCCTAAACAGGAAGCCCTCAAACCTTCCATCACCATTTCCCATCTACTCAGACTACCTAAAGCAGTCATTCTTGGTGGGGAGAAAGAAAGTTTAAACACTACAGCAAAGGCAGTCTGGCCAGAAATCTCTGGTCAGAATTTGTATTGATAAGCGACCTAATCAGACTCTAAGCTCTGACTCCCCATTGGGTCGAAATTTGAACTTGTTTCTTGACCACCCCTTTTCCCCACCAGCCTTAGCTTGCCCAAGGCACTTCAGTTCCTGAAATAAAATCTCAAAGTATCATTAAGTCCCACCCCCACATTTTTCCAGTTTTGTCCTTAACTATCTTGGGGCTCAGCTCTCCTGCCCCAAATCAGAAATTCTTTCCTAACACAAGTGCCCTTGGTTAGTCCCTGTTAGAGGAAGAGATGGACTAGATAAGGGGCATCTATTTGCAAGATTCATTTATAAACAGCCCCCCCATCTACACTCTTATCCTAGAAGCAGCCTCATCATCCCTTCTGAGATTCTCTGTATGAAACAACTGGGGGGGGGGGTCTTGAAGTAGGAACCATCACGAAATGGGAGAGACTGGGAGGAGGGTCCCAGGCACACTAGACCTGCAGTGTCTTCTTAATCTAACCCTTGTTTTACTCCCCATGTGTAAACTGGTGATCAGGACACCATCAGTGAGTGTCATTCTGTAAGTGTCACTGTAAGGGGAGAGGGCTAGGAGCAGGAGTAACCTGTCCCTACTGGAGGGGGGCACTGTCTGGATGCCTGTGTGGTGGGTGAAGGGTTATAAGTAGTGGTGACTCTAGTAGTTGCAAATCTGTCTACTGGGGAGGGGGCATCAGGGAAGCCTCTTCCTTAGATGAAGCGTTGAGGTAACCAGCCTGGGCAAAGTACCCATGATGGAGGTACTTCCCAGAGAAGTCCACTTGGAACTGCCAAGGCTGACGGAGGGAGAATAGGACTGTACCACTGAGACCAGCCTGGGTAGAGAGACCAAAGAACTAAGGAGGCCGATGTCTCTGGAAACCTAAGTGGACAGGACCCCTACCAGGGAAGCAGCACTCCTTCATCAGGGCCAGGGTCTTACCTTGGCTCCGAGGTGGAGTGGCCACTCTGATGGACCGCGGGGCAGCAGGATAGACAGACAGGGCCAGGAGTGAGGACCGGAGCTGTGAGATGGGCAGGGCCAGAACTCTTAAACCCGGAGCTAGAATCAGATAAGGGCTTGTCTTGGGGGCCGGGGCCGGGGTCGGGCCGGCCGGGGGCAAAGCTGGGCCGGGCCGGGCCGCCCCCTCCCTCAGCAGCGTCTGAGCCAAACTTTGTGTGAATGGAGGGGCCCGGCGGGGGCCGTGCGGGCGGGGGCGGGGGGCTCGGGGCTGGCCAATAGCAGAGCGGAGCGCCATGCCCGAGCCTGAGGATTGGAGGTATTTGGGCAAGGGGCGGGGCGTAGGGGGCAAGGAAGCGGAGACCCAGACTGATGGAGGCGCAGAAACACCCAAAGACAGAGAAACCCAGACAGAGTCCCGAAGAAAGAGATGAAGAGACGATACGCGAAGCGATAGAAGCCAACCTGGCAAGATGTCAGGGGACGAGAGAAAGAAGACAAGGGAGACGGCCGAGTCCGAGAGGAGGACCGAGAGCGGGAGCCGCGGGGGCGGGACTGGGGCCGGGTTAATGAAGTGGAAATGAATTCAGGTCCTGAGGGCTGCGCTTGGGACTGGGACTGGGCAGACTTGGCATGGGCTCTTGGGGTTACAGGGACGGGCCATTCCGTACAATTTCCCTCTTATTCGTTGTTCCCCACGTAGAGGGCGGGGCGCTGGGTGCAAAATAACCAGAACATCATCTCCACCTGCAGCAGCTTTATCTGGAAGGAAAGAAGGCTGGAGCCAGGCGCAAAGTGTGGGGGACACCAAAGGCTGAGGAAGGGAAAAAGGGTCACTCTAGGGGTTTCCCCACAGATGTTCGAGGAGAGATCACATCTGCGTAGTTCCTAGAGGATGCAGAGCGCTCAGGTCCTAGCAGGTGGCAGGGAGGACACTTTCGGCAGAGAAACTGTCTAAGTGAAGTCCTGAGGGGACATGGAAATACCCAGGAAACAGCATCAAACTGTTCCCACACACTAGAGCACCCAGTAGTGGTTCCCAGTCTTACCACTGCCAAAGATTACCTGAATCCATGTTTCGAGTGGTTTGTATCCACCATCTCCACCCTTGGCATTTACAGAAAAAAGTAATGACTTCCCCATTTTTGTTCATCATAGATATTTATTTACCAATCAATAACCATCAGTGTTACTGTATTGATGCCTCCTCCCCACCGGACAGTGTTACTGCAGTGTAACAATGTTAGTGTCCAGTACTGTTAGTTTCTCTTATTGGAGATGGGGATGTAGCTCAGTGGTAGAGTGCTTGCCTAGCAAGCATGAGGCCCTGTGTTCCATTGATGATCAGCACCAAAGGCAGCAGGCAAGGAGGGAGGGAGGAACGGAGGGAGGGAGGGAGGGAGGGGAGGGGAGGAAAAAAGAGAGGGAGGGAGGGAGAGAGGAGGAGTGGGAGGGAGGGCAGGCAAGCAAGCTTTCATTGGCCAAGGATAGTGCTGACTGGCTCTCCACCAGCACAGCTTGTACTGAGGAGTATGGAGAAAACCCAGACTATATATAGAGTTGTTATAAGACCAGCCCAGAGTTTCTATGGGCCATGGAAAGCAATAGAGAGTTTTTGAGCAGGGGAGACAAAAGCCATACAGAAGCTGAGGGAGATTAATCTGGAAGTGAGCAAGCTGGTTTGAATCAGAGGAAGACAGGAGGCAAAGGGGCTAGATAGGAAGTAACTGCAATAATGTTGGCATGTGGAAATTCTCAGTCTATATTGTGACCATGAAAAGTGACACAGAGAAAATAGACTGGAGTACAAAGAAAAGCCAAAAGTAAACAAAACAAACAAAAAACCCCGAAGGACTAACATATGATAAGCAAAGAGGAAGGCTTCAGAGCTCACACTGGGGTCTGGAATCTAGAAACAGGGAGAATTATGAGATGATTAAATCCCAGGGGAGGAGCTAACCTGGTGAGGAGTTAGGAGCTGGGAGGTATGGAGAGAGATCAGAGGGAAGGAGACAGAGGCTGCCAAAGCAGCATGAATTAAAGCTATGAGAGAAAGATAGCTCTACATACAGACTGTACACAGGGTAAAGGTGGACCAACAGAGTGAGGAAGGCTTGCACTTAGCAAGAGGACTAGCAAGAGGAGGGTCCCACAAAGAGGAACAGCAGAAGAGAAGAGAAGTGAACAGAAGAAGAGAAGAACAGAAGAACAGAAGAAGAGAGAGTGGGGTGTCAAAGAGCCAAGGAAAGAAGGAAGGGGGAGTTTCTAACACTGTCAGTAGATACAGATAGAAGCATTGGCTTTGCCCATGAGAGCCACTACTGACATTTGAGAGCAGCTCCAAGGTGGGAACCAGGTTATGAGGCACTGCATTAGAAAGTGAGGACATGTTAGCAAGCACGCTTACTCTTTTAGGAACTTTGCTTAGAAAGGAGAAACATACAATAAAAGCCAAAACAACGTTCCAGAAGCTATCTTTCCTTTTCCTTCAAATTCCAGATATACTCTGTGTCTAGGCAGGTAGAGGTGAGGGGCCATGGTAAGATGGTCTGGAGGCCATCCTGCAGGGCTGCTAGAAGAGCTTAAGGGTAATAGGGATAGGAAATCTAAAAGAGCTATCCCTAAGGGAGCCAACCAGGTGCTTTAGGCCTGCAACACTAGCTACTCAGAAAGCCAAAGCAGGAGAGTCACAAGTCCAAGGCCTTCCTGAGCTGCAGAGTGAGTTCGAGACCAGCTTGGACAACCTGGTGAGTCCCTGCCTCACATTTTTTTAAAAAGTGAAACAAGCACAGAGGATATGGCTCAATGGAAAAGCACTTGCTTAGCATGCACAGGCCTAAATTCAATCCCAGTACTACCAAAAAGGAATTCATTAAGAAACATTTATTGTGTATTTATCACTTTTCCAAAAATATTATCCAAGCATTTGGCTTCAACCACCACCCATGAGTCCATTTCTCTAGTCCACCTGTATATATATTTCATACTCAGCACACTTAAGGAAAATGAGTCATCTTGCTCACAGGAGTGCTCCTCTCCATTTCTTCCCTACCACAGCGAATACGCCACCATCATCCAACCAGAAACTCAGCAGTCTCCCAGGCTCTGTTCTTCCTTAGCCTGCTCCCTTATCTAACCAATACTTCTACTTCCCTAAATACTACCTCTGCCTCTTATCCCATTATCATTGCTATAGCCTGGGACAGATGTACCTCTCACCCAGGGCTACAATAGCAACATTCTGATTGGTTTCTTCCCTCTAGTCTTTCTCCACTCTAATAATCCTTTAGATCATGAATTCCTTTATGTAAAAGTCATTAGGACTGGCAAGATGACTCAGTGGGTAAAGGCACTTGCTAGCAAGCCTTAGGACCTGAGATTTCAGTTCCCAGGACCCATGTAATGAAAGGAGAAAACCCACTCCTAAAAGTTCTCTTCTGACCACTCCATGTGTGCTGTGAAATGTACATGCTCACACAAATGCACATAAAAATACATTCACATAAGTAAATAAACAAGTAAATAATATAATTTATAAAAAGAATTAAAAATAATTAAGCATCAATAATGTGTTTCTCTCCAAAACACAAATCTGACTGTGCCAATTCCGGACATGGTGGCGCACGCCTTTAATCCCAGCACTCGGGAGGCAGAGGCAGGAGGATCTCTGTGAGTTCAAGGCCAGCCTGGTCTACATAGTGAGTTCCAGGACAGCTGGGGCTGCAGGGAGACCCTGTCTCAAAAAACCTCATTATAGCCTGGGCTTGACACCATTCCATTCTGGTCTTCCACTGACCCTACACACACAAACTTATAGCCACTTCTTCCTCCAGCACCTATGGTTGGGCCTTTTGCTCTCTTTCTGTATCTCCTCCCTTGTCCCTTGGTCACACAGGCTCTGAGTGCTGAGCAAATCTCTGCCTTTGACCCTATATTCTCTCTGGGGCTCCACTTCCATTTCCAGTTGCCTACAGGGGATTTCCACTTCCATTCAGCAGGCCCCAAACTCAACTCATCCTCTTCCTCCTCGAGGTTGGGAATGCTTACAACTTCCTTATTTCTGTGTAACTCCTGGTCAAGCAGACTGAAAAACCAAAAGTAATCATCAGTCTTTACCCTTGCCCTATGGCCCACCTTGAAGCATGCCAATTAGGCCACCAAGTTGTTAAGACTCCCTTTGTTATTTTTAAAATATTAGTATTGAATGAGTTTTTTAACCTTTAAAAAAGATCTCCATTTCATTTTAGGATATATTCCTTTCAGAAAGACTCATTGTTTTTGCTACTAACACTGAGATGTTGGCGCATGCATCCCTAATCTGTATGTATCTGATTATTACTAGTCATAATTGGTTGCACTTGGATCCTTGGTGCCTGTGTATGTCTATAAAGTTGTTGGGTAGATTTCAATGGTAATGTTTATCACCTCTACTAATTAGCCAAACTGTATTGGTTCAACTGTGAACCTAGAAACTTGCAGCCACTTGTGAAGGAGATGTACTCTTGTTCTGGAGTGTGTTACTGAATATGTTAAGTCTCTAGTGAAATGCTTCTTCTAATCATGTAGTTATTAAAAATTTAAAAAAAGAAAAAATATTGCCCACCATAAAAAATATATTATTTTTATTATTTTTATTTTATGTGTATGAGTGTATTGCCTATATGTATGTAAGTGTATCCATGTCATGAAATACCCACAGAGGTCAGAGGAGGCCATCAGGTTCCCTAGAACAGGAGTGATGGATGGTTGTTAGCTGCCATGTAGATGCTGGGAATCAACCCCAGGCCCTCTGTAAGAGCAGCCAATACTCTTAACTACTGAGCCATCTCTCCAGCCCCAAGTCTCCCTTAGTTACATCTCTCTAGGATGTACATTTTCATTTCCATGATCCGAATCAAAAATAACTACTAGCCCAGGACCTGAACCACTCTTTGCTCTTCTGTTCAGTCTAAGGAAGAGACAAGCTGTTTTCATTGCTGAAGTTCTGTGCCCTGGACTCAAAACCCTGAACAAAAGTCCCATCTTACAGGTCATGGCCCAGGCTCCTTTGCTAGCATTTAGAGTTCTCCTTTGAAAAGAGAGGAAAGCAAGGATCAAAAGGCAAAACAGGAAAGAGAGATTTTAAAGAAACAGTCTCTGGAGAAGTTCCCTCCAAATAGTCCTTACCTACCTCAGAGAACAGAAAGTCAACTACTGAAGCT